TGGGACTACAGCTGTATGCACTATGCACCAACCAGCATGCCCATCTAGTTTTTTGTATTTTCAGTAGAGATGGGGTTTCGCCCTGTTCGCCAGGCTGGTCTCGAACTCCTGAGCTCAGGCAATCTGCCCGCCTCAGCCTACCAAAGTGCTGGGATTACAGGCACGAGTCACTGCGACCAACATCTTGTACAACATTTGTATAAGGTTTTGACTCACAAAGCTCCATTGTGAGGCCTTTCCACCCTGGACAGAGAGCTTTATCTTTGAAGACTTTATCTTTGAAGAATGATGTGTGCTTTGTCATGCCGTATTCCCAAGAGCCCTGTATATCTTAGGAGATAAATAAGATAAAAAGTAGTTAAGTGAATAAATGCAGCAAGATCCTGAATCACTAAATATTCTGTTATATTCATTATAGTTGTAATACTGTGAAAACTTTGTTTTATTTTTAATATGCGATGCATGTATCCATGTTTTTTGGGCACCTGCTATCTGCAGTGTATTGGATAATACAGACTTGCTAATTAGCACAAACTTGGCCTCTGCCTTCGAGAAACTCACATTCCAGAGAGGGAAAAAGAGATCAAATCACAAACTGCATTGCTAATTATTCAATTATCATTCCAGGTGGGGAAAGTACAACAAAGGGAAAGTCTGCAATGCTTAGAAAGCCTATCACAGAGAAAGATGTCCCGGTGCAGAGATATCTGGGAAGGCTTCCATGTGAGGAGACAGTGACAATGAGATAAAAAGGAAAAGTGCAAGGTTGTTTTTTTTTTTTTTTAATTTAAAAATCAAAATCACCTAAGCTCTTTGATGTTCTGGCTCCTCAACCGTAGAGAAAAATAATGGCTGAGTTTGTGCTCCCAATATGGGAGGGGCACCCAGCCAGCGTTAGTCTCCTTTCCTCTCCCACGCTCACGTTCTCACCTAATTCCCAGGTCAGGAGTGGGAGCCACTTCCACTGCAGCATTCAGCAGAGACCTCTCCCTTTTTGCCTCCCTCCAAACTGCCTTCTTCCCATCCCCAGACACTTCCCTTCCATCGGGAGAGCCATGCTTCAGAGAGGAGATGAATGGGGTTCCCTCTCCCCCTAAGGGATTATCATCAGTGTCACAGCCACAGCAGGGAAACTAGACAGTGATAGCTCTGTGCTGTCATTTGCTTTCACAGAGCAGACAGTGGCCTGATGTACGATAGCCTTGAGCTAAGTTCATAGTGAAAGGAAGGCCTTGGAGGCTTGCAGGGCTGGACTCCCACTTAGCTCCTCCCTCGGGGCCATTCTTTCAGCTCTGCTTTACTGTTAGCCATGGTCTCCAGCAATGAGTCATTTTCTCTCAGATGCCTGGACTGATTATTCCTGGTGGATTCAACAGAAGAATCCAAGGTCAGCATGGACAGATCCTTGCACTAGCTTGGAAATCAGACAGATGGAGTAAACTCCCAGCTCAGACCTGTGGCCTTGGGCAAGCTGCTTCCCAACTTATGGCGCCATATTGGAAAATGGAATTTTACAGAAGCTACTTCCCAACTTACGATGCCATATTGGAAAATGGAATTTTACAGTAGCTGCTTCCCAACTTATGGTGCCATATTGGAAAATGGAATTTTACAGAAGCTACTTCCCAACTTATGGTGCCATATTAGAAAATGGAATTTTACAGTAGCAGTGCTTACCACCTGGGTTGTTCTAAGGACTGAATAACATAGTTGGTAAGGTGGGTAGCTCAGTACTTGGCAAACGGTTAACCAAATCATTGCACATCTACTGTCAGTTTGGAGTACATCCTTCTACATCATTTTCCTCTTCATCTACAAAAACATATACATATTTGTGTGTTTTTCCTCTTTTTCTTATACAAAAACTATGTATATATAATGCTATGTTATATGCAAATATACAATTATATATGCATATTTATTACATGTAGAATGTATTCGGGTTTTTTTCTTTCATTATACAGTGGCAAAGAAGAATGTATTATTTTGTAAATTACTGTTGTTTACTCAAAAATATAACGCTTCTATTCCACTCAAGGAGATCTTCCACATGCTCACACATAAGCTCATATATAAGCTTACACACATATATAAACATCTTCTTTATCCTTTCTAACTGCTACCTAGTAGTCCACAAAGTGGAACACCATAAAAGGTTGATGGACATTTAGTTTTGCTCCCTATTTTTCACTATTGTGAACTGTGTAGCTACTAGCATCTTCATACATCTTTTCTTATGCATATGTGTGAGGATTTCTCCAGCACAGGTGTCATTTCTAAACAACGAGACACAAATCAAGGACTTGGATCCCTCTTCCCACATTTGGGTGTGGACCATATTTGTTCTTAGCATAAGGAAAACTGAATCAGATTAAATTGTGATTACAATTTCCCTTTTTCTTACTTCCGAACATTATTTATTATTATTACAGTATTTGCATAATTTGTATATTGCATTACAAATTCCTTCTAGCCTAATAATATATAAACATTTATTTAAAAATAATTGTTTTTAAATTTTTGTATTTTGACATAATTCTAGGTTAATGGGAAATAACCAAATACAGATAGATGTTAACAGATAAACAGTTAGATAGATAGATGATAGATAGATAGATAGATAGATAGATAGATAGATAGATAGATAGATAGGTGCAGTGGCTCACGCCTGTAATCCCAGCACTTTGGGAGGCTGAGGCCAGTGGATCACAAGGTCAGGAGTTCAAGACCAACCTGGCAGAGATGGTGAAACCCCATCTCTACTAAATATACAAAAATGAGCCAGGCATGGTGGCGGGCACCTGTAATCCCAGCTACTCAGGAGGCTGAGGCAGGGAATTGCTTGAACCTGGGAGGCAGAGGTTGCAGTGAGCCGAGATCATGCCACTGCCCTCCATCCTGGGCAACAGAGCAAGACTCCATCTCAAAAAAAAAAAAATAGAAAAACAGATAGATAGATGATTGATCGATAGATAGATAGATAGATAATAGATATCCAGATACCCTTTACCAAATTTCTCCCACAAGCATCTTGCATAACCTTAGCACAATTCTTAGCCAGGAAACTGACATTGATGCAATCCACAGAGCCTATACACATCTCTCCTGTTTTATATGCACTCATTTACATGTGTGCCTATGTTTCTGTGTAATTTCATCACATGTGTAGATTTGCTTAATGATGACCACAATCAAAACCCAGCATTGCTTCTTCACCACAAGGCTCCGTAGTGTTCTCCCTTTATAGCTGCCTGTGACTCCCGCCCCCTGCCAATCCCCAATCTGTTTTCCACCTCTATAATTTTATTTCAATAACATAATATAAATGGAGCCATACAATATGGAACCTTTTGAGACTGGCTTTTTTCACTCAACATTATCCTCCAGTGATCCATTTAATTTGTCAAGTATTTCCATAGTTCCTTCCTTTTTATTGTGGAGTAATATTCCAGCTATGGATGTACCACAGTCCGTTAGCCACTTATTCATTCATTGACGAACACTTGGGTTGTTTCTGGTTTGGGACTATCGTAAATAAAGCCTCTAGGAACACTGGTGGACAGGCTTTTCTACACACCTAAGTTCTTATTTCTATGAAAGAATTGCTTATCTGACACTGGCAGGGTTCTACGGTGAGCATGTTTCATTTGCAAGAAACTGCCAAACTATTTTCCCATCCATTTTGCATTCCCATCAGCAACATATGAGCGATCCAGTTTCTCTGCATCCTCAGCAGCATTTGATGCTATCACTATTTTTTATTTTAGCCATTCTGACAGGTATGTAGTGAAATGTCATTATGGTTTTAATTTGCATTTTCCTACTCTCTTATGATGTTAAACATTTTTTCATCTGCCTATATGCCATCTGTATATCCTCTTAGGTGAAATATCTCTGCATGTCTTTTGCCTATTTTTTAATTGGAGTTTTTGTTTCTTTACTGTTGAGTTTCAAGAGGTCTTAACAAAATTTCTCTTTTTAACTTTCATTTTGGAATGGCAGATGTGCTGAATAAGAATTCTGATCAGAAGGATACTGCCTATGGAAATGGGCAAGGACTATCCTGAGCCTCATTTAAACAATTATCATGCTTCTCTGTGATGTGTAGTTCCACTTCAGGATTCCTTTCTATCCAATTTTAAACCAACAGTCCATTGTGGACTTTGAAAATGTGTGATGGAGAAAAAAATAATTTTAAATGACAATAATCAAAATTCTCTAGCAGCCCGCAGTGTACTCCTGAGTGACCCATCACCCGGCACTGAGCCATGAGTAGTCCCATCTGATCCCTTAGTGGGCTCTCATACATCTTTCTTTTATAAAAAGAAAGAAAAGCATATATGATTTTTACATATTGCCAAGAAATGAAATGTGTTATGGGCAGAAGTGTAGGTTCTGGAGTCAGACAGCTCAGGATAAAATCCCAGCCACATCACCTAGTAGTGATAGTAGGGCTACTTGGTATGGTTTTGCAGGTTGTGCACTGCATACATTTCCCTCCCACGATTTAGGGAGATGAGTTGGAGCTGAAATACAGAGTGCTTTGCGTTTGCTAAGCTATGCAAGCCAGTCTGGAGGAAGGGGCTGCTGCTTCCTTGTGTAACTATGAAAACCACTTGCCAAGCTGTACACTGGTATAGCTGTACCTGCCAGAAAGGGCATCTTGTTCTAATTCAAAAGGGAATACCAGTTTCAATTTGCACACAGGCTCTTACCGGCTAGCAGGGGCCCTATGCTGTGTCACCTTGATCAGGTTGCTTAACCTCTCTGGGCCTTAGCTTTCTTATCCTTGAAATGGGGATAACAGTCACATCTATCTCAAATAATTGTTGCAAGGATTAAGAGGGTTAATTCCTATAAAAGGCTAGACCTAGCATCTGGCATATGATAAATGCTCAATAAATGTCATTGTTGTTACTACTACTATCTTTTAGTGATGTGGATGGACGGGCTCACCCACACAAACCAGTCTGCAAGCCAACAGTTGGAAAATGATAGTTCAGTATATTGCACAAGATCAGGACAATAAAGCTCTTTATTAAAACTGTAGCACTTCTGACTTATAGTCACAAAATGCTTCAAGGAACAGAATGCTCCCCTGATCTTGGGACTGGGGAGATGAATCGATGTGGAGAGGCTGGCAGAGTGTCCTTCGTCCTGGAGTCCAGCCAGGCTGGCTTTAACATTCCGGGTCAGACACCCAGCCGCAGGCTCTCTCCTGCCAGCCTGGTGTGCTTCTTCTTCAAACAGTTTATTTATTTTTTTCTATTTCTTGCAAGATGTAGGATTTTCTTTTCCTTGAGAAAATCCCATCTGTTCTCTGCCAATATTTTCTCTCCCAGAATAATAGTCTGAATATCTGAAAAGTTCTTCATAAGCTGACTTGCCCATTGGTTTCTAAAGTCCAGAGCAGGGGAAAAAAATCATGTTGAAAGCATATGAAACATGCAGATTCTTGGACCCTGACCCTGGAAATCCTGATATAGTAAATCTGGAGTGGAGCTCATGCATTTTTCTTTTTAACCAGCACTTTCAGGTGTTTCTAATGTTTAGTTGGCCTTGTCCAACCCCTTTAAGACTCCGAGGGCTGTGATCAGCTCCAGGTCACACAGTAATGCGAAACAGAGCTGAGATTAGAACACAGACTTCTGTGTGGTGTTATTTCTCAGCAAGGTGCAGCTGCCCCTACTACTTTCTCTTCCCTCACCAGGCTTTTCCCCCCAGTGACCTTAGGGGCCTTAATTGAATGACCTTGGATGACCTTGAATGCTTCAAGGTCCACTCCACCCCCAACCCACAATAAAACTCACAGGCTCAGAGTCGGTTCCTTAAAGGACATGACTTCTGGATTCAGTGGTAAGATGCTCATCAATTCCTACCTGCAAAATCCCCAAAAGGGAAAAATGTTTGAGCCTATCTGGGGCACAGCAAAGAGCATGGGGCAAAATGGAGTGTCTTCACCCTTACAGACAACACTAGGAGGTGAAGGAATTCTGGGGAATGGGACAAAAGGGAGTATCTGGGAGGCTTATCCAGTGAACGGCCCATTAGCCCATTCAGTTACTTCATGAAACATCCTATGCATGAAATATTAACTGAAAATGGACTGGTTAGCACTTACTGTGCTAAGCCCTTGTTAGGACCAAATTTGGCTATGGAAAAAAAAAAAAAAAAGAAATGCAGTCACTTTTGTGTGGACTGCAAAACCTTCCTTAAAGATAAATAAAACATTCATCCTTGAAAATGCACATGCAAATTGTACATAGATATAGACACACTTGTGTGGACAAAAGCAAACATACATCTGCACACCAAGTGGGCACACATTCATACACTTACAAGCAGATATGTACTGCCACATTAAGAAGTACACACACACATCTGCACACACAGACACACATGCACAATCACAAGTGCAATTTCCTATATACCATATATGTACAAAATTGCTTAAAATGAAACGTATTGCACTGAATTATTATCTCAGTCACTGGATGGTGAGTTCTTGAGGTTGGGAAACAGTGTCTTACTCACCTTGGTAGCCCCAGGGCTCAGTACAGGGACTGGAATAGAATAGACATTCAGCAAAGTTGTGTTAAACTTTACTGAGTACAGGCCTACACACTTGGACCTGAGCTAAAACTGTCCTCCCATGGATACAGATGTGAGTTCCTTCAGAGGTTTTTCATTGCATCAGCGGAAATCAGGCCTAACTGTGGATGTAAATATCAAGGCAAAATCAGATTGCCTTACTTGCATTCCTATTTGAGAAAGCAGCAAAAATGCTCCCCAGGCTCCAAAATTGATGGCTATAAAAAAGGGGGAGCCCAGAAGAGCTACTGAGCCTGCACTCCACGTGGGGGCACACCCCACCCATTGAGGCTCAGAACCCTAGCCAACAAGTAATGATCACCCCCACAGGTGGGTCCCCACTCCCTGCCAAGTTTTCCCAAACATCCTTTATTTGTCTAAAATTAGCCCTTTCTGGTCTATACTTGAGAGAAAACCTTTAGTTCCTCTATTTGTTTTTTGTGACAACAGTAACACATTACCACAACCTGGGTGGCTTAAAACAACAGGACATTTGTCTCCTCCTAGTTCTGGAAACCAGAATTAAGGTGCCAGCAAGACCACACTTCCTCCAGGGGCTCTAGGGAAGAATCCATTCTTTACCTTTTCTGGCTTCTGGAAGCCGTCAGAGTTCCTTGGCTTGTGGCTGCATCACTCCAGTCTCTGCCTGCATGGTCACATGGTCTCTTTCTGTCTGTCTAATCTCCCTCTGCCTCACTCTTATAAGGACACCGATTATTAGATTTAGGAAACACCCAGAAAATTCAGGATACTATGGTTTGAACATGTCCCCCAAAGTTCATGTGTTGGAAACTCAACCCCCAATGCCACAGTGTGGAGAAAGAGGACGTTTAAGAGACGATAAGTTTATGAGGGCTCTGTCCTCATGGATGAATTAATGCAATTATCACAGGAGTGAGTTAGTTATTATCAAGAAAGTGGGTTCCTAATAAAGGATGAGTTCAGTTCTCTTTCCTCTCTCTCTCTCTCTTTTTCTCTCTCTCTCCTTCTTTCTCTGTCTCTCATAGTCTCTTGCTCTCCTTCTTTTTACCATGGGATAACACAGCAAAAATAACCTCAGCAGATGTGGGCCTCTCAACCCTGGACTTAGAGAAGTCCAAGAACTGTAAGAAATAAACCTCTATTCCTTGTAAATTACCCAGTCTCAAGTATTCTACTATAGCATCACAAAATGGTCTAGGAAGCAGAATAAACTCCCTCTCACAATCCTGAATTGCATGACATCTGCAAAGACACTTTTTTTCAAATAAAGTCCTATTCACGGGTTCCAGGTTCAAGGAATTAGGTCATGGATATATTTGGAAGAGGAGCAGGGGAACCCCAGAAGCCCACTACAGTATCTACAATCACAAAGCTGGTAAAATAATACGAAAATTTTCTCAACTTCAACTTTTTGAGCAGAGTTTTATCTAAACTGACAGGGGAGCTAAGATCATTTTTAAGAAAATGCAATTTATTTTTATGGACTGACTTGCCTCATTTAGAACTATCTTAGACAATACTGATTGATTACAAAACTTCTTATGCCAGAAATATTTCAGTATTAAAAAAAGAATATATTTTCACACCCACTATGGTCCTGAACAGAAAGTGTGCACATGTGATTTTTTTTCTTCTCTCTATGTTCAACCAGAGAATGGCAGAGTGACTATCTCTCACTGCCTTCCAGAGAGAGCTGGTTCTCCTTTGGCCAACAAGCTTTGGCAAACCTCAATTTGAGTACAGCTCAGTCTATTTGTTCATTTCACTATAAATGTAACTTCTGCCATTATCGCTCCTCTGGTGAACACTTTTGACTCGAAATGGCTGAAGAAGCCACAAATGAGTCTGGGAAGAGTATTACACTGAAGGTTACAATGTAAATTTTACAGTGGCTTAAGGCAAGTTGATGTCTTCAAAGAAATAAAGTCCAGGAAAGAGAGTACAGATGGGCAGTTCTTAGAATTCAGTGGAGACCTTTTGGAATTATAATTAGCTTCTAGGCATCGCTCACCCTAAACGATGTGGCCAACTGGCTGTGCATGACCCGTGACTGTAGGACATTGGCCCAAAGCTCTCCATATCTTAGAGAGTCTGAGAAGGACCAATAGGGATAATATCACCTTCACAGAGACTGTGGAATCACCTGGGAAGTGCACAGAAAGAGAGAGAAAGAACAGGAGAGAGGAAGGGAGAGGGGTTTCCAAGATCCCCACCCTAGAGATCTTTTTCCAGTTGATCTGGGGTGCTACCTGGAAGCTTTGTATTAAAAAAAATTTTTTTTCACTCCCTTACTTAGAAACTTTGACCCAAGGCCAAGCTCAGGAGCCACTGCCACGTAGAACCTACTTTAATGAACAGATGAAAAGCTGTTGGCACTAAGCATTGATTTTCTGTCGCTCAAATTTCTTAAGGGCAAAGATCAAGTCCTCTTCATACTTGAAGTCTTCATTGACTAGCACAATGACTTCCAGGTAACAAGAATCTATAAAGCATGTTGAAATTGTAACATTAGGAATACATGTTCCAATATGTGTGCTGAATAATTTCTTGAGTGACTTGGCCACCTCCTCAATCTGCTATATAGAGAATCAGGGACAGCAGTGCTTGGGGAGGAAGAATCCAGAGTTGAGCAGTTTTGGTCAAATCCCCACTCTGGCATTTACTCTGTGACTTTGGACAAGCTGTTTAACCTCTCTAGGCCTCAGTTTCCTCATCTGTTAAATGGGAATAATAATAACACCTGTCTTTCAGTGTTGTGAAGGATATATGTACACAACCCAGTGCCTAGCACCTAGTAAGCACTCAACAAATGCTAGCTGTTACTAATAGAATTATTACTAATTTGAATACATTAAAATATGCCAGTGATCTCCATTGCTCTCCATTGTCCTTATGGTTAAGCAAAAGAAAAGTGCCTTGGCCTTGCATAGTAGACCCTCTCAAGAGATTTTAGACACATTGTCTGTCACCACTAACCTTCTGGTAATACTGAATTGCTAATGGTTCCCCACATTTAGTGTGCCCCTTTTCACCTCGAAACTGTACATAGCATTAATCCTTCTGTTCCCACTCTCTCCTCATTTCTCTCTGTCGGTGATCTTCTACTGAACTTTAAAATGGTAATTCAGTTGCTCCTCTTCTCCAAGAAGCCTTATCTATCTCTCTGCTAGTTCTTCCTTGCTTCCTTCATAGAATCGATAATCCTCTCCCTTATCCTAGCTGCATATTTTGTCTTCACTTATATCTTTAAACATACTACATTGTGTTGAAATTTATCATATTTTATTTAAAAATGAATAACCTATCCTGTCAACATAGGTTCTGAATTTGTGGGTTTTGAACATATGCACTTTTACAGTATACATTTGTATCAGTTAGTTATTGCTGTGTAACAAGCCATCCTGAACTCAGTAATTTAAAATAACAATCATTTATTCTCACTCAGGTTTCTGTTAGGTTGGATGGAAGTTTGCTAAGCTCAGCTGAGCAGCTTGTATTCCAGCCTGGGACCAGCTGGGCTTGGCTGCTCACTGTAGGTTTGGCCCAGATCTGCTCCAGGTGTGTCCATTCTGGAGCCCAAGTGGAAGGGTCCAGCAGCGACTGAAAGGAAGCTCCTCTTCCAAATGCATTTCAAGTTTCTCTGCTTGCATCATTCCTGCTACAATCTCATTGGCCAAGTCACATGCTGAGCCCAAAGTCAACAAGCAGAAAGGTGCACATAGCCTATCATGATGTCAGCAAGACACATGCCCAAAGTCAGCATTGGTCCCATTGGTCCAGTAAGCATGAAAGTGGGAGGCAGGGAGTGGATATTTTTGAGCAGGAACTGATCCACCATGATAATTCTCAAATCTTTCTATGATTCATTTCGCTTGTCAAGTGCATTAGTCTGTATTTAGACATCTGCATTTCCGTGCTCAAATAGCCTTAATAATGAATGCATTGTAATGATATTCTGAACTCTAACAGGGAATTAAATTTCCCTTTTTCAGTCCCTAATACATTTGTGTGTGTTTATGAAATTATTTAGTACTCTGTATTGTAATTCTCCATGTGTGTCTCTTTCAATGGTGTAACATTATTCAATGGTGTGACAGATGCTATGGTTTTCTGACCTAGTGCTCATTCTCGTCCCCTTCTTTTCTGCTCACTTACACTATAAACGACACAGATGACAAATGTCCTCCCCCGCAGCTTCCATTGAAGCTAGGAGTGACCATATAACACAGCTCAGCTACTGAGGCATAAGCAGAAATCTGCAAGGAGGTCTCAGGAAAGTCTTTTCCCTCTTAACAAAACAGTATTC